TGTATATATATTTAGAGATATATATATATATATATATATATATATATATATATATATATATATATATATATATATATATATATATATATATATATATATATATATTTGTGTGTATATGTATGTATGTCAGTATATATGCATGTGAATATATATACGAGGGTAGTGTTTGTATTCGTGCAGTTTGTCGGGCTGTGTACCATAAAGCAGACATACATATGTGAGTGGGGTGAGTGTGTTGTATTTATCGGTGCGCAGGGACAGTCTGGGCGTACATGTCATAGTGAACGTACATGTGTCTATGTGTGTTGACGCATGACACAAGACTTAATCTCATCTATGTGTAGGTGTTCAGGTACACTTGTCGTGTGACTTGTGACCTATTGGTAGCATATACCTGTCTCTCCGCTGTGGTGGCTAATACACATGACTTCACATTCTTTGTGTGTAGGTGATATATATATATACATATATATATATATGTAATACATATATATATAATACATATATACATAAGTCATATATATGTATATATTTATGTGTATATAAATGTATCAATAATCATATATGTAAGTAGGCTAGCTCACCTTTCCGTTGAACATCTTTTCTTCAAGCGCATCCTCGAAGTACTTTGCGAAAGGGAATTCCTTGCTGACCGCCGCAAGTAGCTCAGTTTCGGAGTCAGCACCTGAAAAATCAAACAAATAAATGAGACAATGTATATGCTGTAAAAAGACACTATAAGCGGACAATGAATGGTGAAATCAGAGAAATGAAACAATGCTTGCTACAATGGGACACTATTAGCAAGCGGACAATGTATGGTGAAAGAAATAATGAAAAGCCAGACAATGAATGAAGAGAAAGAAGACAATGCTTGCTATAATGGGACACTATAAGCAAGCGGACAATGTATGGCGAAAGAAACTATGGAAAGCCAGACAAATAAATTAGACAACGAATGCTAGTATGACACACTCACGGCTGCCAAAGCATGGTGACATACGACTGTCAAAGATGCGTGGTAAAATACGATATGCTTCAGACAAAGCATGATAACATGACACAAAATACCAGAATACACGGTAAGACAAGCTTTATATATATATATATATATACATATATATAGCTATACATCATGTATATACATATATGGTAATTCGAAGTAGCACGAGGCTTATAAAGCGAACCATGAATGCCAGAGTGAGATATACAAAGCGGACTGTGCAGGAGAAAGGATGAGCACACACACACACACGCGCGCGCGCACACACATACATCCATATACCTACCTCGCTGGACCTTGCTGAGGTACTCTTCCCACCTGGACATGTTGCTGTACAGGGTCAAAGAACACACACGCACACACACACATACATGCACACACACGCACGCACGCACACACATACATACATACACACGCACATATACATACATATATAAACTCTCACACACACACGCACGCACACACATACATACATCCATACATATACCTACCTCGCTTGACCTTACTGAGATACTCTTCCCATCTGGACATGATGCTGTGTAGGTAGAAGTACTGCGCTGTTTCACAGGACGCTCCCACATCCCCCTGTACACCCAAGGTCTCCGCCAGTCGCTGTACGTGTTGAAGCAGCTGCAAGCGCCGCTCGAGGATGTGCTCGACTCGACCGAACTTCGAGAAGATCTTCTCCGTATCCAGCTCTCTTTCTCCGTAACCTGTGGGTGTGTGTGTGCGAGTTTGCATGAGGGAGTATGTTATAGGGTATAATCTGTGGGAGTGTGTATGTGAGTTTGCATGAGTGAGTGTGTTGTAGGGCATAACCTGTGGGAGTGTGTGTGAGAGTGTGCATGAGTGAGTGTGTTGTAGAGCATAACCTGTGGGAGTGTGTGAGAGTTTGCATGAGTGAGTGTGTTGTAGGGCATAACCTGTGGGAGTGTGTGTATGAGAGTTTGCATGAGTGAGTGTGTGTGTGAGTTTGCACGAGTGAGTGTGTTGTAGGGCATAACCTGGGGGAGTGTGTGAGAGAGTTTGCATGAGTGAGTGCGTTGTAGGGCATAACCTGTGGGAGTGAGTGTGTTGTAGGGCATAACCTGTGGGAGTGTGTGTGAGAGTTTGCATGCGTGAGTGTGTTGTAGGGCATAACCTGTGGGTGTATGTATGTGCATTTACATGAGTGGGTGTGTTGTAGGGCATAACCTGTGGGAGTGTGTATGTGCGTTTACATGAGTGAGTGTATTGTAGGGCATAACCTGTGGGTGTGTGTATGTGAGTTTGCATGTGTGAGTGTGTTGTAGGACATAACCTGTGGGTGTGTGTATGTGAGTCTGCATGTGTGAGTGTGTTATAGGTATGTGTATGTGTTTGCATGAAAGGGTGAGTGCAAGGAGGTGTGTTTAAAAGCGGTGGTATACACGGTTATGTACTTGTCTAGGGAAGTGGGTGCATGTTCGAATATATGTATGATAATAGCCATCTGCATGTATACATGCACATACCTACTCTTGTGTTTTATATAGAATTAAGGGGATGCCACACCCATACCACCGAATCAGTGTACGTATAAAGAAACACAAACAAGACCTACCCAGACGAAGAACTTACAGTCATATATTTATATACACACTTTAGTGTTATTTGCCATGTACATGAATATACACACTCTTCACACCCACACTCATACCAACCACACCCATACCAACGAATGTGTGTACGTATAAAGAAGCACAAACAAGACCTACCCAGACGAAGTACATACCGTCATATATTTATATACACACTTCAGTGTTATCTGCTATATAAATGTATATACACACTCTTCACACCCACACTCATACCACCCACACCCATAACAACGAATGAGTGTACGTATTACGAAGCACAAACAAGACCTACCCAGACGGAGCAGATGTCGTTCGTCTATGTCCAAACCCATCAACTTCTCAAAGAGCTGATTGAGCGCCATATTGGAGTGTGTGACAAGCAGGATCCGTTGGTCTGGTGTGTTGTGGTACCTGTTATTTGTACGTCGATTGAATTCGTTAGGTTTGATACGTTGGGTTTGATATACTTGTGTATGTATGTATTTAGTAGTATATTCATTAGTGAGTGTGTGTCAGGCAGGATACGTTGGTCTGGTGTGTTGCGGTACCTGGTAGGTATTTGTATGTCAATTGAGTAAGTAAGGTTTGATCCGTTAGGTTTGATGTACTTGTGTATGGATGTATTTAGTAGTATATTCGCAATGTGTATCTACATACACCATACCAGTAAGATATAATTTACATTACACTCACATACACAACCACCCACACATCTACATACACCATACCAGTAAGGTATAATATACACTACACTCACATACACAACCACTCACACACCTACATACACCATACATACCAGATAGATAAAATCTACACTACGCACCCACACACCTACATACACCGTACCAGTTAGATATAATCTACACTACACTCGCATACTTAACTACCCACTCACCTACATACACCATACCAATTAGATATTATCTACACTACACAACCACCCACACACCCACATACACCATACCAGTTAGATATAATCTAAACGACACACCCACACACCTACACACTCATACCAGATAGATATAATCTACACTACACACACCCACCCACACACACTCATACCAGTTAGATATTATCTGCACCGCCACATCCGTCTTCCCTGTGCCTGGAGGTCCTACCACCATTGTCAGACCGTGGTGCATGGCACTGACAATAGCCTCTGTTTGGACAGGTGTGAAGTAAATGGTGTTCCCCCGCGGACGTTCTGAGGGGTAGGGTCCCATGTTGGGTGCGTTGAAGGGCGTGACTATGATTGCCTTGTCGTCTTCGTTGGCTGGGAGGATAGGAGAGGAGAGGAGAGGAGAGGGAGAGTGGGAAAGGGAAGGATGAGTGAGAGAGACATTGATTTATAGGTATGAGACAAGGGAAGGAAAGGGAAAGAAAAGGATCGAAACAAATGGAAAGGAGTTTGGGAGAAAATGATAGAATCGCGTATCTTGATAGAACATCTATTAAAATCTAAAATAATAATATAAAATA